GCCCTCAGAGATATTCAGAATCCAAATGCTTCCCAAATCTTGAATCTGAAGCCAATTGGTTTTATTAAAAACCCTTCTCGAAACTTTAAGAATCCTAGCCCAAGACCATCCCTTCTAAAATCAATCCCCACAACCCTCAGAATCGCGGGAGGTTCCGAAGCTGTCATCTAGGACGCCTAATTTCTAATTTTCTGAGGCCCTGTTGTCAGTGGGGCAGGTAGGGGTATAGAGTTTTAAGAAGGTGCTACATTATATTTATACGGCGGCGCATTGAGGCTGTCTTCCCATGCAAACGTCCCTGCACAACTCGAATCGTAAAACTGGCTGCGCAACTCCAAGCCTGTGAAACCCGACGTTCAATCCCAAACCCTAAAGTAGGCGGCGGCCTCCCAGTTACCCCGCTGCGCGGCCAGAAGAAGAGCTCGGGAACCCGAAGACGACTGCAGGTCCTCAGGTGTGGATTCGCATGTCACTTGAGCCGTTATATCTCTACGCAGCCTGCTTCCGTGTGCTGATGCTCGTGCACTCAATACAATCCTCAGCATCGGTCTCATTAGTCAGCTGCATCAGGATGAGTACGACTGCAGCCCCTACCAGACATATCGCTGACAACGACTACTCACTGCTTTGCCCAGCCGTTGTCCCAGTGCTCTTTTGGTTTCTTCTGGTGCGCGATTACTGCAAGATGTGCACAGGCAGTGGCATTCGTCCCTATTGTTGCTGGTCAAGTGTTCCGAAGAATGGATGAGTATTGGTGTTGCTATTGTGTTGTCTTCTTTGCGGTCGCAGCTTGGAATTTGTTAGTCTATGTAGCAGTGGTGGTAGTGACAGCAGCATAATAGCGGTACAGGTTGCGCTACTGCAGCTGATGCTGGCGATGCTGCTGCTGCTGCTGCTGCTGCTGCCGCTGCTTCTGCTGCTGCCGCTACAGCTACACTGCTTTGACGATGACAATGCCGGCCGCGACGACGACCATGACGGGTTCTTGTTGCTGATGCAATGCCGCTCTCTTCCCGTTTGCAACTTTTCTTTGCTATGACTTCTCCTTCCACGACCACCACTCGCGAGTATGTCCTGTGCGATGGCCTGAACTTGCATCGGTGAGGTCAGGGCTGGAAGTCGGTCTACGTAAGCTGCCGCTGCCCTCGCAGGAGTCCTGCAGCCATCCAACTACTTCGTCTTCTGCTTCTTCATCACGCTGCTTGGAGTCAAACTGAGCGCTCGCACAAAAAAAACTGGCGCGGCCCTGCTGGCGAGGAAAGACTACCGAAGCCAATCAATTCAAGCCCATGCCGCTCCTGTGCTTCTTGTTGTGTCTGCCGCCCGGGGGGGCTAACTTATCTCAAGACGCATTCTATGACATATTTGTAGCAATTCGTGTTGCTAATCTGAAAGCTCAAAGAATTCCAAGGGGTCTTTCATGCGCAGGTTTGCTCTGTAAGTGGGCTCACGGTGCACAGCCCTGTTCAACATTGACCTCAAAGTGCGACCAGGGGGGTTTGAAAGAACATGCATCACATTTGCTCTCGGCTTTCCAGCCACTCTCCGCTCTCCTCGGCACATGTCTTCCGTGCTCGAGGACGATTTCGCGCGTTGGGTCATTTGGGGACTTCTGACCCATCAATGTAAGTTGTCTTCGTTTCCATTTTGTAGATGAAGTAGCATGCTTGTATCCATACATCTGTGAGAACGTTTTGAGGACTCTCTGATTGGTCCAACTTCTGTCTCTGTGTGTTGGCGGTGCTTTTAACACACGACGCAGCATCTAGATCTAGAACGCATCGTGCTCACATTGTATAAGTTGCGTTGTTTTTACAGCATGCGTTACCTTGTCGAAGCCGACGGCTTCATTGTGGTACAGGCCTTGGACCAGAAAAGCTTGATTTACACAGCTGAGGCTTCTCCAATTCGTTTCACAACTTTTTTGTGACCGTCTATAGCCGTTGGTAAAAGGAAAAGGTGGATCCAAGGTATTCTCCTCGGCACAAGCGCGTCATCCATAAACTTGATGGAAGACTGTCTGCGATGTATGGTCATATGTTTTGCAAACTCCAGTTTCGTGCTGCATTTTCCTGACTCCGTTTGGACTTCATGAAAAGTTTGCTCAGTGCTTGAGTGCGCGACGAACAATGTGTCGTCAGCATGCAACATATTTCTGCGTGATGCCTGCATGGTATTGGATCCTGTTTTTGGCGTACTCAAGCAGGACGTGATATTATCAGCAAAGCTAGCCGTCATCAGTACGCCAAAGAACGATCACGGCAAATGCAGGAGTCTTGCCTATGATAGCGTGACCGGATCTCGCCCTGTACGATGTGGTGATTTGGCATTGCTCTAAACATTTCAGAAGACTTTGAGAGTGCTTCACTCGCAGCAAGAGACTTGGCTTGAAGCAGCAGGTAGAGCTTAGTGTATCGGTCCTTCCAACTATCAGGACAGAAGCTTAAACAGTTTGGCAATATCAGGCTGAAGCTGGTCAATCCGAGAGGCACAGCCGCCTTCTACAATGATGCGGACAGGTTCCCACCTGGCCGAGCCCATCTGTGCCGGCATAGGCCGACCATTCTTGTTTGTCTGCGTGAAGGGTCGCTCGTTCTGCAATTCGAGCGTCGTTTGTTTTTGTCATGCTCTTTGTAGTCTGCCGGCGGGTTCTTCTGAGCTTGGTGGCTCAGGGTTCAGGATTGCCACCTAATTCACTGGGGAGGAAGCAGCAAAGAACAGCAAACAGCTGCGCTCCCTGCAACGAAGAACAATGTAAGCAGCTCAGCAGGATCAACACCATGCGGCTGCACCATGCGGCTGAAGAGCTGCAGAACACCCAGCAACGTAGCACTACGCTGACAAGGGTTCAGCGGCACCGACAACTTGAGAGCATGAACAAAGGTGGAAGAAACCTTCTGCTACCGTTCGAGTCACCGAGAATAATTGTCGGACAATGCATCGAGCTGGTTTACAAGCTTCCCTAACAGGAGGCCACCCTCCAAACAGTAGCATTACGTATTCATCTATCTGGCTTACCATGTGCATATCCGCACCGAAGCTCTGAAATCCCTAAGGCCTATAAGCTTCAAGCCCGGTCCGTACCTTATGTGCCTTATCACCCCCTGAAGTCAGCTCAAGACGCCGATCGCGGCTTGCAGAGAGCAACAGCATCTGGCCGCCAAGCTTGATTTGAATACGCCAGGCAGCTTATAACGTAGGACTGGAATCATGCTGTCACGTTTATTGACTTCTACTTGCACGGGTAGCTAGAACTGAAAGCCTTGGAAACAAACAAACGCAATTTATCTAGCACGCAAATTGTGCAGATCAGCAGGTTCCAAGCTGAATCACGGAAGAGGTGGGCGGGTGCGCCTGCTCTGCTGCCTTCGAGTTCATGCGCAGGCCATGCTGCACCAGCCGCCTCACCTTTTGGGCAGGAGTTTGGTGCTATCAGGGATAAGTCAGGACATGTCACCAACCGTCGTAGTGGGCCAGAAATGTGCCTGGCTCAAGAAGGGGCGTGACCTTTTTGTTGATATGTCGTTGAGTTTCCATGTTTCCTACAATTTCACTGAGAAAGATGGGAATGTCCCAATCAAGGTCACCTTACACAAAAGCAAGGTAGTAAATCCAGAGGGGTTAGTTGCCCGAAGCCGCTCCGAAAGACTCGGATAAGTGGTGCTCCTGGCGCCGTTGCACACTCGTTGGACCCGTATAGCCAAGATTCTGATTTCCAGTCATTGTGGATGGCGGCGTGGTAGAGTTCCTTCTCATCCGGAACTGTCCTTGTTCAGCGCGGACAGTATTGCTTTTTGAAAGGGTGGCTTGGGCAGTTCAGCTGTTTAGTGCCGGCTGGTTACTGGTAGGGGCATGCTCCCTCACAGCAAGTGCGTAACTGGTGGGCTTGAGTGCTTGGCCCCAGTGGACTTCGCTCTAATGTCCCCAGAGCCACAATAACTGAATTATGGGATATTGGCGTGGGTTGGTTGGAAGTTTCCAGGATGAGATCGGTCGTACGGTTGACTCGGTCAGCACGACTGAGCGGGGTTGCCCGAAGATACGTAGAGTCAGTGTGCGCGCGGCATTGCGGGAATGTGAAGTTTTGAAAGCCAACCATTGAATTTGAACTTTGCCGACAGGTAAAACGAGTGTTTACCTGTCATTTTTCCAACTGTCAGCCAAATTGCGCGTGCATGCATGTTCCCTTGAGGGGTCTCAGGCATGTGAATTCTGCGTAGCATTTACGGCTGGCAAGCCCTGACGAGTCCCAGATGTGGATGAAAGCTTGGCATTGTTGGGCCAGCTGCTGCTAGTAGAAGAGCTACGAGAGGCCCCGGTTTGAGCGACCTCTTCCAAAGTTTTGCTTTGGCCTCATCGGTTGGCAATGCATCTTGCAGCCCAAGATGCCAATGATCCTGCTCTGTCGAAGGCCCCATGGCCAGGCTTGCGGCTATATGCGGCTATGGCCTCTCCCCCTGTTGCTCAGTACCCCCAGCACTGCTGTGTTTCATGTCGCAGTCCCGCGTCTGCAATGCTCTGGCTGTGGTCTCGAACTCTCTTACTGTGTGGCAGTGAAGAATTCTGTTATCCTAATGAATGGTTACACCATGCTTGCTTGTCTACTTATTCAGGCAGCAACCTGTTTGCCTCAATATTCCAGCAAGGCTAGCCTAGAAAGTCAGTTTGGCCATCTGGCTCACTAGTCCTGAAATCTATGCTCACCTCGGGGAGAGGAGTGCCTGAGCAAATGTCAAACGTCTACCCGGGCGTGTTGAGATGGACATCAAAGTTAGAGAAATGCCAAAGCCACAATGGCTTCCCATGCATTCACACCTTGAGTCGAACGCCATGCAATCAAGGACAGTGAAGGCGGTCAGGCGGTCAGCGATTCGTAATGCGGAGCATGATGAATGCCAACATGCGCGCCATGATCGCTTTCATACATGGAGTGATGCAAAGTGCATGAGCCGTATGTCTCCTCTTCGCCTAAGTAAGAGATCCGCAGAACCCAAGACAGCCTCTTCTGGCACGTTCACCACCGCTGGTATCTTGTCCAGGTCAGGATCTGGTTCTCCCTGCAAGTAGCAGGTTGCACAAGGCTTGGGAACTGCACATCCTCTGTCCTCCTGGAGATGCCTGCATGACACCGTGCAAAATCTGTCAAGTCTTTCAGACAGCAAAGAGCATACTCAATTTTCTGTCACCACACGACACAGAGCTGTCCCCTTGGCCTGCAGCAGGTCCTTGTTGAAATCTGGATCATCCCGCTCGGACAACAGGGTGACGCGACGCTGTGCTAGGACCATCTTGGTGACCTCAGCAAACCATCTGCCAAAATCTACGTCGCTTGAACCTCTTAGCCAAGACAGGTCCAACTGACCACTGAATTCCGTCCAGGTGCACCCAGGGCCTCATCAACCTTGCAAGCTAGTCCGAACTCCGCTTCAAAGGCTTCAGGCCAAGTTTTGTAGCAAACGCAAGGAACATCCGTCTGCAACATCTAACACCAGTAGTCAACCAGGGCTCCTCAGAAAGGGCGCTCCTTGGCCCTCCCGATTGTGCTGCCACACAGCCATGGAAGCTCAAGATGGCTACGTGCCTAACCCGAAAGCACTAGCCGCAGGGCAGACCCAGACCTCAACGTTGAAGCCGCGAGATTCTGCCGCTGCTGGCAGCGCGTCCATGTCAGCCGCAGCCAGGAGCGCTGCATCCTCAGATCGATCTCTGCTGCAGAGTGGCTAGAAGATAGATCGGATAGCGTGTACTTTGGCATTGCCAAAGGCAGGCCTTTGAATGGTACATGGGAAGAAGCTCCACGTCTTCTATGCAACAAAGCAGGCACGCGACGGACTGATAGTGCTCGCAGAGCTCAGTGATGAGGGAGAAAATCCTGAGCAAACGAAACCTACACCGACGGCCATCGGATGCTTGTGACACCGCATCATGCCCTAAGAGGATACCCTTTTGAAGGGGAAAAGCGCAAGTTGTTCCTCTTTGGAACGATTCAGCTACTTTGCACAAAACCTCATTTGTTTCAAGGCGGCTTCCAAACTTTTCCAAATGCTGGACAGGAACTTAAGGAGGGGCAATCTCTGATGTCTTCGCACATAGCGCTGTTTTTTTTTCCGCGCTGTGGGTTAAAGATCTTTGGAGCATACGTTCCTTCATCACTTTCCAATCAGTACATGCCGTGATCAAGGAAGCTGTCTAACAGTCCGAGGCACCGGGACTCCTCCACCTCAAATGCCAGTCTCCCGCAACACATCTCAACACCAATGAGTAGGTCGAGTAGGTCAAGGCGTACCGATCTCAAGATGTCTGTTTCCAAATGGAACTCAGGTGAACATTTTTCTGCCCACCCATGCAAACCCTAGACCATTGAAACTGGCGGCGGGGATTTGCTTGTCTGAAATCGACGAAGCTTGGCAGGAGGGCATCAAAGCCACCTCTTTATCCTTCCTGTCTCACGCCAGGGCGCGGTGCAGGAATGCAACAGCTTCCCTATTTGGGGTGGGCTCAAAGTTTTGGAGGAGCGGGCTTCCGCCAACTAGCTATTTTCTGTCAGCGACAACACCCATGTGCATTCAGTCGGGAGGCAACGTCAGGGAATTGCTCAATGCAAACATCCCCACCTAATTAACCTGGCAAAGTCAGACCAAGGTGCTGTCACACTGTACTGATCTACTTTCGAGAAAATCATCTGCTTCACAATGGCCCCTGCGATGTTCATCGTACACGTTCGGCCTCCCAGATTTTCATGGACACTGCCAGGCAGCCGCAGAACTAGAAGCAACATCATTACTCCATAATACTATTGTTCACAGGACCTAAGACTTAAGGCCACAACAGGCTCAAACCAAGAAGATTGCCTTGCTTCTTCTTGAACCAGCCGTTCCCAGGATGATGGAGGTTCTTTCCGGCACGCTGCTTCTTCTTCACCTTCCCAGACGAACAGACGCCACGCTTGGAATTTGCTTCTGAGATGCGCCTCCACCACCACCTCACTATCGTTTAGGTGCCAGTCCATCAGCGGCTCGTCGTCGTGCAGGGTGAAGTTGGTGACACCGCGTTCTGGGCAATCCACTCCACGTGGCATCGGGTTCTTTGGGGCTTGAGAACCCAGGTTCTCTTTCCAGTTTGCTCGTGTGGCTTTCTCAGCTGGCTCAGGGGAATTAGCCACAACAGCAGCATCCGCAACAACGATGTTCTACTTGAGTGCCAAACAAGAAAGCATCGTAGCAACCCGGCATAACGCAACTACCAGTACAGCGAGGAGCTCTTGCAGGCCTCATTTTGCTGCATGCCAGAGCGCTGGTAAAGTCGCAGTGCTTTGCTCCACGCAGAATCAGGCGCAGCTGCTCTGGATACATGCCTTGGCTTTCAGCGCGCCTGCTGAGTTAAGAACATGTAGGCTTCAAGAACAGCAACCCGAGTAAACCGTGAAGCTGTCCCTGTACGGCAGCTTCCGTAGAACCAAGTCAACAATGATTGAACAGCCAAACACACGCCGAAAAGCGTCATGCTATGTATACCGACATCCTAAACCCGAGGCCAAGCCTTTTTAAACAAACAGCCTGACACAACGTCAATACTGGTATGGAAAAGCAGTAGGGAGAAGTTCTGACAGTCCCGGCCTGTCTCCTTAGCGATGGCGGCTCGGAAGTCAGCAACCAGTGTGGGTTTCTCGTCCTAGCGGCAGATGAACACTTACACGCCCAGCTTTACAAGTCACACCAGGGACCACAACTTACCTGCGGGTTGTGCGAGCATCAGGGTTGCCCCGACTAACTAGGCGCTGACAGTGCATGTCTTGGCGGCGCAACTCTTCGCAGCAACTCTTCGGAGTTCGCAAGCGGGTGCGAAATTTGTATACATGAAAGTCTCTGCTGGGGTCGCAACAATTCGGTAGGTATGGTTTCACTATGCCCTCCCTGCCATTGCAGGGGTGGGATCCGGGATCTTCATAACGCGGCCCAGTATGATACTCAGCAACCAGGCTCTGCAAAACCTGAGCTGCAAGCACGTTTCGAGATGATGCGGTACCATCTTAGGATGCAAAAGACCTAGTTTGTCAGCCCGTCCCGATCCTGCCAATGAACTCTCAGTTTCAGACGAGTATCTGCAGCTATGCTCTCCCCTCATTTCCGCACAAGTCCAACTACAGTACTACAGCCGTATCAACTAAACGTAATTGGCATTACGAGACTTCTCCAACGCGTTTGTTCACCATATGTTGAGCAACTTCCGCGAAATTGCAAAATCCCAGAGCGTTGCAGAACCCGAGCTGCAGACATGCAAAATTCTGATGCGCACTGTTGCCCAAACCTCAAAACTTTTTGTACTAGCACTGGTTAGATGAAAGGTCCGGGACACCCTAGTTACGGAGACTCGGGCCCACATCCGCGCCGGGCAAAGGAACGTTTCTTCATATGAAGCGGACATTGCGGTACTGATCCTGGAAGTATTGCACAGAGATCATCATGTCGACGTGATCCTCTGCAGCAGCCACAGCACCAGACCTGTGGAAACAGAGCAGAGGGGCACGAAAGCTGGGACCGAGCAGAGTGGGGCTTCCTATGTTCGCGGGAGGTGAATAGGAATTGCAAGAGCTTGCTGGGTCAAGGGTTTCCTTGTGGCGGCGCTGCCAGTAACACCTTGCAAGCTGAACGCAGGTACCAGAAAACAGCTGCAGAGCCACCTGCGGCAAGCAGAGGCAAAAAGTCAAAAAGAAACAAGTAAATGTTTAACAAACAGCTCTCAACAAAGTTCACTAGAGGTTCTGACAGTGGTTCTGACTCATGCTGCTGCAAGTAGCGTACACGAGAAGCAGCTGCACAAGCCTCAAAAACCCTGAGTCCGTGCATCAGCTTCCAGGGCTTGCTTGTCTGCAGACCAAAGCGGCAAGCGCAGCTGCAGGTCGAACGGATCTTCGGAGAGGCCCTGAACGCATTCAAGCTGTATGGAGTCCGTCATGAAGGCAACAACAGTCTGCAATCTTGAGCAGTGTGCCAGGTCACCTAAAGGATACAACGACAGGCTATAGGCTACCAAACTACATCCATCTGCAGGCGCTACAGCAGCCAGCTTTCGGGAAAATACACCTGGTTGCAAACCTATTCTCTGTTAGCTGGTGGTTCTTGCATTGCACGAAGCCGGCCAACCCTCCAAGTGATGCAAAGGACATGCTGGGAAGCGCCTTGGAGCGAAGAACTGACGCTTTTGACTTTTTCTGTGAGGGGCAACTCCAAGGGCAACAAGGACGCTGCGCTATGTTTGTACAGGCTCATGGACTCGAACGATGACGGCTTATCCGGTCCGTGTCTCCACCTGGAAGCCCCGTCGCTGAGATCGACCCGTATTCCATTGAGATTCGATCCTGGGAACCTACTGCAGCCCGCGGAAATTCTTCGTGCTGCAACTTACTCAGCTGCGAACGGGCGAACCTTCCTTGCCCTTTCCATTCCTCCATCAGCGCAAGGCCGCAAGTCCCGTCCCGAAGTAATGAAAGTAGCATACTTTTATTCCCAGGTCCCAGGTGATAGTTCTTCCGCTGTTGTGGCCAGGACATTGAAGATGATCATTGCGGTCCTCCTCGTTCACAATGTAGCAGCATGTAAATGCGACAAAACTTTCTTCCCGGTGATATATGATAAAGTACCGACGTATGGGGAACAGACTTACGCCTTCTGATGTCACTACCAGACTATCCACTGTCAATACCACCTGCACTAGTACTAAGGCACTAAGGCTTTTGACTCATCCCTGCCTTCTTCTTGGTCACAAGGCAGTCGGCCGTTGCCGGAACTTCTGCAGGTGCCTTGCTCTTGATGCCCTGCCGCGGCACGAGACTTCAAGAGATGCTTAAAGCACAAATCAGCCCAAGGCAACTGCAAGAATTTTTAGCAGCCACCATACTTCCTGAGCAAGAATCCCGCATCGCCGATTACTGCACCATCTAGGTGCACCCTCACCAGATAAACTAAGCTGCCAATCTGCTCTTCAGTTTTCCTGACGTCCATTCCATGCTCCGCAGGAAGTGAGAACCAAGGTTCATTCTGGCAACGTCCATTCTGCCGCCAGGAATCCCACAACACCAAACCCCACCCTAATTCCTGAAGCCGAAAGTTTGACCCAAAATCATGCTGGCTGTCTGCATGCTAGCTGTCTGCTCCTGGCTGCAATGCGTTTCATAGGCATTTGTGATGCACACAGGAGCCTTTCCGGCGCCTTTGCCTTTGGGCTGCTCTGCTGCACGACGAGCTGCTGCTGCAGCGGCAGAGGCCTCTCAAAATTGTTGGCAAGCTCATGAGAAATCGGAGAACGTCGACAATGAGGAATTATCAATGAGCATTGCAGACTTCCAAGTTTCAGGAAATGAGGCACCATATGGCTGGAACCCGATTGGGCATGACCCTGGCAAGGATTGGGAACGAGGCTCCCCAAATCATCACGACATGGGCAATGCAAGGACGCAAGGCAAGAACGCTGAGGATTCATTCGCAGGGATGACTGCCACAGAAACACTAGGTGGGGCAAAGCCAAGTCACAGACATGGAAGGTGTATCATTGGCATCTGACTTATCCAGTGACATAATATCTTTCAAAACGAAACCATAATTTAATCCTGCGAGCCACATGTACTACAGACCTCTGAACCCTAGATCTTAAAGTCTTAAGGTCCCGAGGCACTACAAACGAAGTATGAAACACAAAAGCCTACGGCACAATCTTCAAATCCTGGAACAATCAAACAAAGCAGACCGGATGAAAAAAATATATTTCCTCCAAAGAATGAATGGCAGAAACACCAGCTTAGTATGGAGCTCGCTTCACTGGCATCTCAATCTTCAAACCTCCTCGCGTGTGGCGAAGCGATGCATGGTGGCAGGCCTTGGAACTGAAGCAATTAGGCGGGTCCCTCAAGGTCTTATAGGCACGCATGTCGTGGATCTGAGACTGCATGTATTGACCGCTGAAGTAATTCCTTCAGATGCTCAGCAATGCCCTAACATCTCGAAGTTGTGTCAAGGAAGCATCAGAAGTAGACGGAGCGTACAGGCTCAACAGAGAACACAAGTGATTGGCTCTAACACATCCTAGACAAAAGCTGCACTAGAGGCCGCCAGCAATGGCGGCTGGGGCAGGTGACAGTGGCACTAGAACCAGCGCCATGTCAAGACCCTCAGAGCACTGTCCGCCTTGCTGCCTAGCGGCTTCTCTTCTCGCGGCTGAGGTTGTTTCGACAGGTCCAGCAGCCTTCAGTGCTGGGTTTGAAGGCTGAGGCTTGGGTTTTGTGATGTCTGGGGCAAAAGGTTGATAGAAAGCTGAATTTTCTAGAGAGCTCAGACTTGGTTTAGCATTTCAGTGCGTAGAAAGTAGGGCTGGGGTCGGAAGAATCAGGGCGTCTCAGGCAAGGGCCGGAGGATGACGGACCAACGTGTCTTGAACAGTGAGGGGCCGCAGTAAGGCATAAATACAGAGCAGTGGCACGTCAGGTAAACTTCCGGAGAGCGCCCATTTAATTGCTGGCGGTCGCAGATACCATGTTACCCTATCATTGCCTCCTGGAATCTATTGAAAGCGCGGGTAGTGGAATCTGATCTTGTTGGAGCTATGGCATGTTTGCCATGCTCATCTAGCCACTTGGCCCGCTAGCTTCTCATCTCACCAATCTGTTGTCTAGCCAGTGTTGGAGCATGCCATGGATGCATTTAAGCCAATGGCAAGCTCTGAAATGCAAGGCCCGGCGCAGCTGCAGGCACTCGTCTTTGGGTCGGCCACTGGCAAGGGCACCATCAACCTGCCGTTTAGGTCAAAAGGGGCTCAAAGCGATAAGCGGGGCTATTGCACTGAGGAAGTCACTCGCCCTCGATCTGGGTTGACCTCTGGTTGTTTTGGGCGCACCGCATGATAGGTGCAGGTATGTGGAGGCTCTTTCAGGCCTCATGATAAGAAATGGAAACAAAGAGAAACAGCGTCATGTGGCGGTTGTCGGCAACCAGCCGGCAAACATTGAGTCAAGACGTGGCCGCGGCCCTGTACAATCCACATGATAGCCGGGGATGCTTGGGAGGATGATTGTACGAATAATTATGGGGCTAGCTCTGTATGGCATCATGGGGTCTCACTCCTTGGTTTGCCTAAAACTTCTTTCAGAACGGCAATGTATAGCCAATGCTAATTCCAAACAAGACCCACGAACTGTACAAAGGGTGGATCTGAGCACTCAAAATCTTAGATCTCGCTTGCGGCGTACAGAGTAGTTGAAAAGATGAGCACTTCACCAGTTTCCACTTGTGATCTTGCAATTTCCTCAAATGAGTTCTTCATTCACTGTCAGCTGCTGAAAAGCACACCTCAACTCACTCCTTCGTGTATCCGTGCTCGGTGCGCTGCCTCTTCAGACTCGCCACGTCAAAGTCCCAATCACCTCGGCCTTGGCCACCGGTCTCCTTCCAGTCGATGGTGACGGTGCTTCCAGCTGGCAGCTTGTCTTCTAGAACCAGCGTGCTGAGACGAGAGACCAGGTGTCGCTCTAGGAAGCGCTTCAACGGCCGAGCGCCCATTTCCGGATCATGGGCCGCCTTGAGCACCTGATCTACGGCTTCATCCGTAATGTGCATGGTGACCTCCAGCTCATCCAGTCTTCGAACCACGTCTGCAAGCTGAAGCCGCACAACCTGCCGAAGGACTTCGCCGCTGAGAGGGCTGAAGACAACAACGTCGTCTAAGCGGTTCAACAGCTCCGGCCTCAGGGACCGACGGATCGTTTGTAGAACCATGGAACGTGCTTTTTCCAGCACAGGTCCGTGCCGTGTTTCCAGGGCCATCAAATGTTCGGAGCCCAGGTTGCTAGTCATGATAACCACACAGTTCGTGCAGTCAACCGTCCTCCCCTGGCTGTCAGTGATCCGGCCGTCGTCCAGCAGCTGCAGCAAGACGTTGAGGACTTGCGGATGCGCCTTCTCCATCTCGTCAAAGAGGACCACGCTGTAGGGATGCCGCCGCAAAGCCTCCGTGAGCTGGCCACCTGCCTGAAGGACACAGGGAAGCGTATTTCGGTAAGAAAGCCCAGCAATAGTAAATGACATGAATGACGCTTGTTTGGGCCACCCGAGGCCTCGTGGCCCACATAGCCTGGAGGCGCCCCGATCAGCCGCGAAACTGCATGCTGCTCCATGTACTCCGACATGTCAAACCTGATGATCCGCGACTCGCTGTCGAAGAGCTCCGCAGCAAGCGCTTTAGCCTGTTCAGAGACGTTGAGAGGATCTGAAAACGAACATACTACATCATGCTACCACTTGCAGCCCCAACTCCCACGAAGCCCTGGCAGCCCCAGCCCGCCAGCTCGGTCTTTCCAACCCCCGTGGGCCCAGCGAAGAGGAAGGAGCCAGTTGGCTGGTTCCGGCGCGCGAGGCCGGCCGCGCTGCGGAGCACAGCTCGCGCAACTGCTGACGCTGCCTCCTCCTGTCCGATGACTCGCTTCCTGAGCTCCGACTCAAGATGTAGAAGCTTGGTCTTCTCACCTTGCGAAAGCTTGGACACTGGAATGCCGGTCCATCGGGAGACCACCTCTGCAATGTGGGCCGGCGTCACTGTCTCCACAAGAAGCGGGCTTTCGCTAGCGTCCTCTTGCTCCTTCTTCTTGGCCTCAAGCTCGCGAATACGATGTAGCACGCCTGGAATGGCATCGTAGCGGAGGTCTGCAGCAGCATCAACGTCGTGGCGTGCCTCTTCAATGCTAGACTTCCACTCTAGTATGTGACAGAAGGCACAAGCTGTGTTGGAAATCTTAGAATGCGTGTGCCAGTTGTTCAACTTTCCTTGGTGAGAGCTTAAAAATGAGAAAGCATGTGCTCACTCATAACATATTATTGTCACACATAAGCCATGCAAAGCATGCCTCCATGACCTCCAGCTTCCGCTTCAAGTCCTGGAGCTTCTGTTTAGCAGCGCGCAAGTCGTCAATCATCTCCCGCTCCTGTTGGTATTTGGCGCGCAGCGGCGCGAGCTGCTCACAAACAGCAGAGAGCTCCTTCTGGGCCTCTGCCAGCCTTGTCTTGGAGACGTGATCTTTCTCCTTGCTGAGCGCTTTGACCTCCACTTCTAGGTACTGCCGGCGTCGCTCCAGGGTGTCGATCGCCTCCGGTTGAGAGCTCAGCTGCACACGGATCTTTGAGCAGGCCTCATCCAGAAGATCCACAGCTTTATCTGGCAAGAAACGGGAGGTGATGTAACGGCTGGACAGCGTTGCAGCAGCAACGAGCGAAGCGTCCTGGATGCTAACGCCATGATGGGTGGCATACCGGTCCTTGAGGCCTCGAAGGATTGTGATTGCTGTCTGGACCGAAGGCTCTTCGACGTGGACCTGCTGAAATCGCCGTTCCAAGGCGGCATCCTTCTCGATGTACTTCCTGTACTCATCCACTGTTGTGGCCCCGATGCACCGCAGCTCACCGCGCGCAAGCATTGGCTTCAGGAGGTTGGCAGCGTCCATGGCGCCATCCGTCTTCCCAGCACCAATCAGGAGGTGGGCCTCATCGATGAAGAGGACCACCCGTCCCGCTGCATCCTTCACTTCCTGTAGAACCGCTTTGAGCCGCTCCTCAAACTCACCGCGGTACTTCGCACCGCTGATGAGCGCACCGACGTCAAGGGCAACAATGCGGCAACCCTTCAGTGCCTCAGGCACATCCCCAACCACCACACGCTGAGCCAAGCCCTCGGCAATGGCCGTCTTACCAACACCTGGGTCTCCTACCAAAATGGGGTTGTTCTTCGTGCGCCTGGCCAGGACTTGCACGACTCGTCGAATCTCCTCATCGCGACCGATGACAGGGTCGAGCTTACCGTTCTCAGCGTCAGCCACAAGGTCCCTTCCGTATTTTGAAAGTGCCTCGAAATTCTCATCAGCGGTCTGGCTGTCCACCTTCTTGGATCCACGAACTTCTTGAATGGCTTTCTCCACTGCCGAGATGCTGTAGCCGGCTGCAGAAAGAACTTCCTTCAGTGACTTCTGCTTTAGCAGCGCAAGGAAGAGGTCCGGCAGACTGAGATAGCTGTCGCCACTGGCCGTTCTGAGGCGTTCTGCTTCAGCAAGGGCGCCGCGCATGGCATTGTTTGGGGCAATGTCTTCCGGCGCGGGGCTTTGAGAGCTGAAGCTGCTCAGCAGCCGCTCGCTGCCTTTGACCACCTCTTGGCTGTCACCATTCAGGCGCGAGAGCACCTGCGCGGGCAGGGTGCCCTTGTCCTTCACGAGAACGGAGAAGATGTGTGCAGGATCCAGCTGCAAGTGGCCCCTCTCGCGGGCCAGGCGCATGCCATCCTTCAGCGCCTTCCCGGCCATCTCCGTAAAGTCGGCACCCGCCATCTTCCCAAAGAGTCGAATTGTAACGCGCAAACAGTTCGCCAGAATCTGAGCCTAGATCTCAAACATGCCACAGCTCGTGCTAAAGCTTGATAAGCATTCGATCAGCTACATCCATCTTCATCAATATGAAAGCTGCATTCAGCAATTCACATGTGCAGCTCGTAACGGCCTCGGCGCAAATCTGCTGGCGATACTTCACCGCTCTCTGCCTGGGTCTACTTCGCTAACAGCGAGTCCAGACAACATCTAGACAGGTGACAGGTGAACCATGACTGGGTTGGGTTGACTTAGCTCCACGAGAAAATGAAATGTGCAAATAGGTTGCTGCTGAAATGCTACAAAGTGTGCTAAGCTCTTAATTGGAATGTCCAAATCAGGTTGAAGATCCCTGAAAGGCTGAGACTCACACCAGTTGTGCAGCAGCGGATGCTCCTTCATTGGAAACTGCGGAATGTGGGGAATCGCCTGCAGAGCAGATTCTGCAAACCCGCTGAGTTTGAACTTCAAACACAGACATAGATGCGTAGATGATCAAAAGCACCTTATCTACTTCGAGCATCCCGCGCTTGCCTTATTGTGGTTGCAGGGCATCGTCAACTACTTCCAGTAGCAATATGGAGCATGTATCTGTAATGTAATCAGAGAACGGTGCGCCAGGCCAGCATGCAGATATAACATTCCAAGCACTACACTTGGCTTGGATTCATCATACTTATGGTCTGGGGCTTTGGGGTTGGGCACTCCAGGGATACCACGTAAACGTAGTTGTGCGCTGCAATGGGCGATTGGGTAACGGAAATGACGAAAACTGCTGAAAGGAAGATGGCAGACATGATGAAATGCTACGAAACATCTTAAAAGATGTTGGCCAGTGATGAAACCTGACGAAACGTGGCCAAAAGTGGTCAAATGTCATGAAGAACGATCAACCCCTTCAAAGTGACGAAAATCATGAAAATGATGAAGTTGGATGAGGAACGATGAGAATGATGGGAAAATGATGAGACATGATGAAGCATCATGAGACATAATGAACTACGATTTTCTTAAAAAGTCATTAAAGACACATGATGAAAAGCAATGCAAGACAATGAAAATGCTGAACATAATGATTTGATGAAAAGCAATGCAAGACAATGAACATGCTGAACATGATGACTTGTGGGAAATGTGGCGAAAGTGATGAAAACCATGAGAAAGCATGGAATATAACGAAACATGAACAAATATGAAGTATGATGAGAATGATGAGAAACATTAAATACAACAACGCATGACGCAATCTAATGAAAACGTGATGAAGTACAATGAGAAGAAAGATGAAGCAATATGAATAACAATGAATTCAAGAGGGTTGCTGTTGCACATTTATATTGATTTCCATATTGATTTTGAATCTAAGACTTGCTGATTTTCAATCTTGACTTTTCATTGTAAATAGCCATGCGCAGGCACTGATGTAATTGTTCAGCAGGGGGCGGAAGTTGGAGGAGGGGCAGCACCCCGTTTGCAAAACCTGACCGAAGATCAGCGCGTTATAGCGCGTTTGATATGCTAATGATTTAAGAGGCACTCCTATCAAGAATATGACACCTCTGCTTCTTGGGTCCTTCCCTCTTTTCCTTCTCTCTCTTCTTCTTGGTGTGTTGTTTCTTTCTTTCTTGTGTTCCATCGTTGTTCCTTGTTTCTGTTGTTGTTATGTATTCCCTTCTTCCTTCGATTTGCAGTCTTTCTTCATTCCCTTCATTCTTTCTTTTGTAGTTTTGCGGATTCTACCCATGCTGGAAGCTGCAGTATTTGACTTTGCCCAGGACCTCCTCGTTGCAGTAGTTCCAGCGTTCCGTCCTTTCCTCTCTTTCATTTTTTTGGCTCGCTCTTTCTGGTTTCCTTGTTTCTTTCTTTCCATCTTCCCTTCTTTCTTTGTTCATTTCTTATTTCCTTGTGTTTTCGTTCTTTCCTTCCACTTTCTTTCGTCCTTTCTTCCTTGCTTTCTTCATTTCTTTCTTCCTTTCTTCTTTCCTTTGTCTCTCCTTCTTCCTTCATTTCCTTCTTTGTCTTCTGCAGCATTTCAGGTTTGCCCGGAACTAGAATTCTACCTGGACCCAGAATGCTGCCATTTGCTATCTCTCTGAGGTTCCAGGAGCTGCGAGCGCCGCGGTTTCTACCACATCAGCCAGACTCTTTTTTGATGATCCCTGTTTGTTTGATCCCTATTTGTTGTTTTGTTTGATCCATATGTGTTTGTGCTAAACTCCTCTCCCGACAAAAACGGAGGGCACATAGGCAGAGGTGTTCTTCCTTGGCAGCTGGCCTTCGGGTTGTGACCGTTCTTGTTTGCCCAAAGCCTTGCTGTTGGAAGCGGATGCGATCTTGCAGCAGGCATGATCACCGGTCAAACTATGTACTCCCAACCTGGGCAAGAATCAGCAACCTCCCATGGGACTCATATGCGGGTATGTGCAGCAATGGTAACTTGTCCACTTCTGCAGACCAGGCTACAAGAGCTCGCCCAGGTCTTCATCGCTGGGCACTGATGGCATCAACTCAGCCATGACATCCTCCAGACACCCGAGATGAAGCGTGATAATGTTGGAAGCCGCTATGGCGACTGGTCTGGCATCAGGAATCAAGATGAAGAGGACGTCAACAAAAAGTACCGGTAGCATTGAATAAGCAACTGGATGCCTTTGCTGGACCGTCTTGATTTGACAACATCACAGGAAGGAACAATCCAGGATGGGCTTGGATCGGCTCGGCTACCTGCGTACCTGCAAGGACTGCGCAACTCCAGCCCACTGGCACCTTCACGGATTTGCAGCGGCAGATTCTGGCGACATCCGTCAAGACCTGCACCAGTTTGGATCTTAAACGCTCAGAATCAGCTACTGGAAATTTGTAGCACTGCGTGACTCTGCCGTTTTTCAGGTTTGCTTAGGTGGTGTGTTCTGTCTGATACTCGCGCACCGATGATAGCCATTGCTCTCGACATCTGACATGGCCTACCGGGTGCAGGATGGGAATTTGCAGGGACACCTCCAGGGAAGTGCAAAGACCAGACCTAGACTCCATGGCTGGCCAATGGTCATCGTAACATGGGGTGTACTTTACCCCAGCGTATTTAGGGTGTAGCCTTAAGTGAGAAACTCTAGACTTGGGGCGGCGCTTTTCCAGGGTGTCCTGATGCCACTTGGTCAAGTACGTTCGCGGGACAAAAGTCAGATCTGCATATGTGGCGTTGAGGCCCTGTGTCGTAGATCACTAATCAAACGCAACACGCACTTGAGACCCTGAGGATGGATCAACATTGCATATCCTAAATCTACTTTCCTTCTTGAGGAAGATCTATGACGTGCCAAGTGCCAAGAAACCATGTTACATCCTGCAAACCTTCTTGCAGCCCCATCAAACGATCTCTGCTTATCTGCCTCACTGCGGCGCTCAGGCCCCAGTTGACCCCACCGACGGTCGTACCTGCGGGCTACCAGTGCCATACTTGCTCTATCCAGCCCTATCAGCCCTTACACCGCTGCTGTATTCAGCAGGTGGCAACATGTTGAATGTAAACCAAGCTCTAGCCCTGACCAAGGCCTGCAACTCACCACGGACACCTTTGAATGCGAATTCCCACAATTCCCACAATTTTCAGCGCAAAAATCGCAATGTAGGGACCAAGGCACATCCTGCATACGTCCGCAAAGGATTGCTGGGAAGAGCATGTTTCTTGGCACCTGTTGTGGTCCAGGCACAATGACTTCCCAACTTATGCAAATCAGATGGACTTTGCTCGCTGGACTGTACATCTCAGGGTCTGCCGAGCAAATAGAAGATATCTGAACTGGCTCGACTTTGAAGTTTATCATGTGGTAGAGTACTTGACGAGCACCTACGGTGTACCGTTTTCCTTTGCATTGCCTATATCTTCAACTTGCCTGCTGGGATGAAAAATCGCAGCACTCAGTACTCGCACTCACGACCAGGCCAGGCTTGCAAGCAGATGAGGCCCACAAGAACCTGCTTACGGCTTACCTGGGAAGTGCTCAGCCTAATGCTTAGCCCTTGTGTAGCATTTGAAAAATCATTCTTGGGTGGCTGGATTGCTATGCTAGTGGCTGCTCGTAGGCATGAGTGCGGCTCCAGCCCAGCAGCTCTGCTTTTCGTGTTGGCGATGACGACGAGGGTTTTGAGACGATGGAGGTGAAGGCAAGGAAGAAAGCAATCACCTCAGCTTGGGCGCACGGCTGAGCCGACGCTCTTCTATTCAACAGTCTTTCCTCCCAATGTATCTCGAACCATGTCAGCCTGACTCCAGCCGGCAGCACTTAGAGCCCTGGATACCGCCTCACACTGCATTTGCAGGGAACAAGTCCAGACTGATGAGTCTCGCTAAGGCGCTCGGCCGTGCTCAGGCTCCAAACGGTCAAACCGCTCCACGAGAGCCTGTCAGGAAGCTCAGTTGTTGCAAGCCGGTTAGTCAGGCCGCTATCCTTGCAATGCAGACAACAAGCTTGTGAGACCGGATCCAGACCGCAGCTTGGAGATCTTGGAGCCTACTGGGTCTTCCCTCGATTTCATGCACATTGCATGGCTGCCATGCAGGTACTTCGCGATCCAAGCTGAAACCAAGTCTCTAAGTGAAGTCAAGTCACTTCAACATTGGGCTCGCTCTTTAAAATCCAGGTTTCAAATCCCTGCAGCTCCTGCAGGGAGTCGCACTGCTCTGGCTGGAAGGCCTCTGGCATCCTGCGACAGCGAAGCGGAGCTCTGCTAAATTGGCGGCACTGCACTTTCGGCGGTGAGGGAACTTCAGTTCGAGTTGCTCCCGAGGCCATGCAAAGTCTTATGGTTGGGGTGGGGTGGAGTAAGCCGAGGACAGTATGCGAAGCCAACAAGCAAACAACTAGCTGAGGTTAACAAGTTCAAGCAGCAGAAAAAAATCGGAGAGAAACCGCTATTCAGAGAGCCTCACATGGATAGGATGCAATTCTGACTACAGGTAGCACTTCTTAATAGCTAGCAATGTGATTCATAACTATCTGGATGTTCTTCCTAACCTGACAGGGCATCAGACTTGATCAAAATGAGGGTCCTAAATAATGTCTTTCTCATAAGACCAGTGCCTGACAACCGCGCAGAACTGAGCATGAAAACGCAAAAATTGCTAGAGATGCCCCAAAGTTGAGGCATGGCGTGATGCACTGGACACTGATGCCACAGCCCGCAGCCTGGCAAACGCTCGCCGAACCATCTCTGGAACGAAGACATGCCACATGTCAGACCAGCTGACGCCATCGACCAGGCTCCTGAGATGCTCACCAGCTCGCAGGAGCCGGCAGGAGCTGCAGAAGTTCCTTCAGAACTCTTAGGCTGCTAACGCGGGGGTCTTCTGCAACCATGTTTGGACATCACCAGAGGCGGGTCTACACATGGCTGCTGTGAGTCCTGTGTTCAAGGGGCCCCATTTTGCCAGCAAGAGTGAATGCGGAGGTGATTCACATACCGCTTGGAAGTACCGACTGTGATCAAGCCTTATGAAAAAAGCCAGCCAACATTTCTGACCATGAAGAATGCTAACTAACTTGGAGGGTGCGATGGAAGGGTTTCCAAGCAGCGCCCGCAAGTACATTCGTGAAAGTTGCATCTGCAAGCTACCACTCAATCTCAATGCCGCAAAGTTACATGATAGATGTCAGGCGCGTCTAGTGTCAGCGTGGCACGAGCACGAACATCCCCAAACCCAAATCTGGACCCCGAACGACACTTTTCTTTCTGAAGGGAACGCAAAGGATCTAGAATACTCGACTAGTCAGAACCACGAGGAGATACTATAAGAGTGACCAAATCGCTTCGTGATCCAAATTTCGACGCTGGGGCTTCAGCGTCATAATGAAGGCTAGAAATTGTGCCCCGAAAGGATTACTGACCACCTGCATATCAATTCTTTAGCCACCCTTTCTGACATGAGCCCATTTCATGCAATTGACTGGCTGAAGCATCCTGCAACCTCAGTATCTCAAAGAGTCGTGCAAGTTTATGACAAGGTCTGTGCCCTCATCATTCTTCCTCCAGGAAGCCTGCTGCATGCCTCCTCCCTTACCAGAGCAGCCCAGACGCAAGTAGGCAATCAGCAGGCCCAGGTCAGAAGTTCCTCCGTGCCAGCAGGACTCTGGGGTGATATTGTTAGTAAGTCTACGGTTTCCTTCAGGGCACAGTCATCGCGACGAGCTTTGGACATCTCAGATGTGAGACAGGGCCCTTCATCTTCGCAAGCTCTCTGTGCGAGTCTAGTACTTTGGCAGCTGCCTCTACCTGCGAGATTGTCCTGAACGGTTTCACGAAGGAGCACAGGATACGCTGCGGACTTGTCATGACGTCCAAGCTGAAATCAAAGACAACGTCATGGTTCCATTGGACATCGCTGTTGGTTGACAATCTGTCTTTCATACTTGACCACATTTGTCATGCATGTAGTCTTTTGCCAGTCATAGCTTGATGGCGTTGCAGCTCTAATGTCGCACGACTGCACACGGTCAAATGCCTATGCTAAGATAGCCTACACATAATTGTAAGAGCAACTCAGAAGCCAGAACCTTCAAGTAGCTGACTCCAATTGAGTGGAAGCTTCGCCCACCAACCTCCCATCAAGTACTTGGAAGACTCCTTGTGTGAGAGGACACCCTGAAGAAAGAGGCCACTTTCTGAAAAGGCCCATGAAAGCATTGGTCGGCCTTTACGTGTTCGCATCTCGGGCTTTTCTATGAAGCCAGTGACCTCGGTGTTTGCTTCATTTCTCGCTCAGGTGTCGGGATTCAGACTCGCTACGCAAGTACATCAAGTACAATCAAGTACATGTATCAGCTACTCCTGGGCCAAGGAAAAACTATACTATAATTACAGCACCAGAGACTTTACCGACTGTCGAAACCCTTGCTGATCGCATCAATGTGAGTATACTGCTCATGCTGGTATTATGTGCTACTCCACATTTTTACAGGGGCGGGCCTGTTCCTGGGCCAGCTCCAGGATGGCTGGGTAGTCCTTCGCCATCCTCGGCTTCACATGAGAAGGGAGCCTGAACTATGAACAAACGATTGGTTTGCTGCTTTCCAAGGTAAGCTGTGTAGTCAGACCATAGAAGGGTCCAGAAACACCCAGGTGGCTTCATGTGCGACTGCCTGCCATCGGTATCAATGTTGAGCAGCAAATCGCTGTTGACGTGGAGTGCAACTTTCTTGAAACCAAGGACAGGCCCCTGTCGCAAGAATGCAAGCCGAAGAGCTGAAAGCTGCAGCGACAGTTGCGAATATCTGAAAGCAATCTATTGGAATCGTTGCGAGAGGATTGGCCATCAAAAGCAGATAAGCTGCTGCAACAGCAGCCGATGAATGTCGCAGTACATCTGAACCTTGGCAGAAACTCGTGTCTGAACATGGGGCCGTACTCTGCGAGTAGTCTGTCATGAACGGATATCTGAATCCTTGGCCTAGGTGCTTGCCATCTGAAAGTTTAGATAAGTAGTCACATGGCGGCGGCATCAGGCTTCAGGTCCTTGATCGATGACCCTTGTTGATAGTGCAGCGTAGCCCGTACCCGTACGCATTTGCTTAATTTTACAAAGGCCGGCTTCGATTCCAAATACCATGCAATCTTGTTCGCCACACTAGAGTGCACATCTGGCTTCCCTGGACCCAGGAGCTCCATCTGCAAGAATTTGTGGCTCTGCTCTCTTCAGCAAATGCGGCTGCTCATGTAGGCCATGCGTGACGATTTGCGAAAGACGCTGAAGGAAGCCTTGCTCCATGCTTCATGTCTACTCAAGTTAGCACGTATGAATACGTATGAACGAGAGTCGTAGACGTCCTGACATTAACTTGACCGGTACAAAACACACCACCATAACCTGCAGAACTGCTCTGCCCTTGCTGAGGTGCCGATCGCTCGGAGGCCTTGGCACGCTCCCAGGTGTCCGGGGAACGGACGAAGCCTTGCTCACTCCATGCTCATCTGGATTAATACGGTCCCTTCAGGATGCCAGGAGGCCTAAATGACTTTGGAAAAAGACGCCCTATTGACTCCATTGTCTCCAGCCAGAATCAATCTCTCAGAGTACGGATGGAAGAATCAAGAAACCGAAGCAATTACACAATTGAAGAACACCTGCCGCAAGGGAGCCGACCACGGCGCAACACATGAGCCGCGCGCACACTTTCCTTACTTCAGGAATGGCTGACATGTGTACGCTTACTGTTGTGAGTCGCTTTCGGGTTGCTGATGTACCTGACGTTACCACAACTTTCTATCCTCCCCAGCTTCCTTGACAAGCCTAGTGTCCGGCAGCTATGCCAGAAGCACAAAGGAAGTTCAAATCATGCTGGCTGAAGCCAAGGTGGAGGTGAACCTGAAGTATCCCTGAGCTGGCTACGATCACTGTAGCACCACCTTTGAATTTAGCGCTGCTGACACGTGGCAAAGCATCGCCGGCCTGAAAGGATGTGTTGAGCTGCCTGGCAGCACCAGTTTCAAGATGTCAGCGCATGGCATCCAAACACACGTCCCTAGCATTGAGAGTCTGGTGGGGTATCAATAGAGGGAAGGCCTAATTATTGGCGGTCCAGGTTCCGTCCCAAAGCAACTGAGCTTTGTGGACTGATTCCATACTTGACTTGCTGTCCATTTCATGAAGGCTTCCTAGCTTGCAATACGCCTTCATCAACTATGAGAAGGTTGGTAAGTCAAACGAGTGGTTGCTTGCTGGCTTCCCACACGTCTTGCCACCCCACTGATTCTTGATAAACTTCAAGTTCTAGTCTTGGTGAGTGAGGGGGTTCCCGGCATGCAAGCAACATGCATAATCACAGCCATGCGGCGTTGCTATGAGCGAGAATGCTGAAGGAGCAAAGGTCCTGGAAACAGCCCAGTTGGTTGCGTTGATGTACCTGGTGCAGCGCAAGTGTAATGGACGGTCCAAACTAGCTTCACCTCACCAAAACGTGCATCCCAGCTCATGGGGCGGCATACACAGGCAACTCTCATGTATCTACTTCTGGCGTTGATAAGTCCGGGCTACCCACTGAGATCAAAAATGCAGCAATCAAGTCTGATGCGTTTAGCAGTAGTGTGGTCTTCTGGGAGCAGCTGGTTCACAAGAACCCCCAGCCCTCTGCAAGACGTAAAAGCTTCTGGGATTTGCAGCCTCGTCTCCTACCTGTGGATAGGGATTGGAGTGAAAAACAACAAGCATGGCTGCAAGACGCGATCTTGGAGAGAAACACGTGGTCTCGTCGGAAAATGACTTGGTGCGAAATGTCAAGGATCATCATAAGGTCTCCGTGCCACCAAACTGCAAGGGGAGCCACGCATTGATACCTTAGTAGCAGTTGCTGTGCAAACTTATGACAAGAAGGATGTCACGATCTACCCTAGTGCTGCGCCATGAACCTCTGTGAGATTGCTGTTACATGGCGCTCAGACATCACGCGTCTGCGTAAATGTCCTTATCGCCTAGGTGTTCCACCAAATGTGTAAAAGCGTCTATTGCGTCTGCAGCGGCTTTGGTTTGCGGTGACCAAAGACATGGAGGGACAGCCTAACAATCAGACAAGAGCGACGTCAAAACCTAGAAAGAGTACAGAATAGTACGTACGACCCCCCACCTGCATGTCAAGTTGCGTCGCTTCACTGTAGACCTGCACAGAAACCAGTCTGGCTCATACAAAAATCTGCGCGCTCTATAGCGGGAGCTTCTGAACACAATTCAAAACAGGAGTGCTTAGAAGGATGCAAGCGAAGTGCACTGAGTCTTCACTGAGCGTAGCTTCACAGATCCCTAGGCTATCACAGAGTCTTCCTTGACTGCTAGCCCTAGCATCCCTCTGACTAGGCGGACTCTGAGCGCTGTCCTGAAAGGATCAAGGATTTTGGACCCCGAGCTCAGTCAAGCTAACGCACGCTCCGCCATCCAGGCGACAGCCGCTTGAGTGCTGCAGAGTTCCCGCTCGCCTTGGAGCTTGCCCTGGGGAAAACCACTCACTCAGAAAGAACTTCAGGCCCAGAAACCTGAAATATAGGATACAGAACTCTGACGGTGGCTCTGGCTGAGCGAAGGGCAGCACCTGTGCAGAAAAGGCAGCTCGACTGACCCAAGCGGAGGCCGAGAGGACAGGCAGGTGCGGGCAGGACAGAAGAGTGCAGGCAGGCGGCTGGGGTGGCTTGACTGACCCAAGCAGAGGCCGAACAGGCAAGGGAAGACTGCAGGGACGAGGAGGCGCGAAAGGCCTCAAGGCTGAGCGAAAGTGCTGGGGAGATCCGCCTCTGCAGGGGGGCGGCGGAGCACGGCACGCGCGTTCTCACGCTGCGGCGCGACGGACAGGCTCTGCAGGAAGCGGTCGGTCTCGACCGAGGGGCTGTCCCCTGAGCGGGCGGCAATCAACCTCGAAGCGTTCGCCAGGTGGCGGTTGCTGTTGGGCCCCACCCTCCGCTGCAGGCCTCAGCCACAAGCGGCAGAAACTGGAGGCCTTCAGAAGCGCAGTGGTGGTCCGTGTGCAGGTGGGCCCGCTTATGGGCTTCATAGGCTTCAACGGCAGCCGTCCCAGATTGCGCGGACTGGGCCAAAGTGGCACCAGCCCGAGGGCCGGAGGTGACGGCAAGGTCAAGGGCGGCAGCCCCATGCAAACCCCACTGTGCGATCCAGACGCCGGCCCCACGACCCTCATCGGTCCCATCCTCAGCGGGCCGGAGCGGGAGCAGGCCGGGTTTTTCGACTTCAGCCGCCAGGCCAGCAGCCTGAGCGCGAGCTGCCACGACGGCCCGAAGGCGGTTGTGACGTTTGACGGAGTTCAGTCAAGCCTATCCAACTCCCAGACCCCCACAACCTTGATGCTTTCATCATTCATCGCAGGCTCTCGTGCGTCGTTGAGCTGAATTTCTGGAAGCTCCCGGTCAGCAAGATCCCTGAACTCTGAAGCACCCAGCGACTGAGAGAAACAACAGCTTGGGCCAACCTGGTGCAAGCGCACCAGTCGGACTGCAAACTGAAGCAAATGCGAGTATGATGCTTTGCCACGCAGTGTGACGAACCAACAAGCAGCTCACTTGGACATTACCCGGCAAGCACCCTACACTCCTACAGCCCGGCCTGAGCACCTCCACCGGTTCCTGTGCCTCCTCTGCATCCCAGTCGCCTCCTGGATCAGCACAGAAAAAAGCGCTGTAAGGACCAAGCCGGAAACGGCGGTAATTAGGGATCTTGAAATGACAACATGGGTCGAGGACGCCAGCCACATGCTGCGGTGCTCGTAACAATATTCGGATGGCTGCATAGAACTCCTTGTAACGATGAGCTTACCCATAGTTTGCAGGTTGCATTCTTTCACACCTAAGCCCTGGATAGCCACGAAGGGACACTTCCACCCTGAAGTTCTGAACCGCACACATCCGGGACAGCCATGAATTCAAAAAATGTCGTTAGCCCGCATTCTTCACTCCAGTCCCCAAGTCCCCAGCTGAGCCTTGCTCCACGGAACTGCGCACTCCCAGGTTATATGCCTCCGCAGAAACGTAGTCCAGGACCTGAGCGGTGTTCAACCATTTGTAGAGTACTCCTTTGTGGCAGGGATCAAGGGTGTTGATGTAGAGCACTACGATGAGGTTAAGCCTCTGCGGTAATTTTGAAGTTTGCAGTGTCAAGCTTCACCTCGTTATTTCCGACACCTTCCTCAAGAGATGGGCAATTGCACAACAACAACAACGACCAAATGCAAGAAGAGCAGCTCCCGCGGTGAGGACAGTTAGAATGAAAAGCGATGGAGTCTAGACAAAACTCATGCGTGGCTCATACTACGTCTTTGGTCTGGTAGATTGAACATGCTTCTGTAGTGGCAGACAGTTCCCATTCTCTGGCAGGCGACGAGGTCTACCTCTGGAGGAATGCGGGCGCGCCGTTCCCTGCAGGTCCTCGCAAAACTTCAGTCCCAGAAGCACAGAGACTTAGGAGCTTCAGGGTTTGGCATTGTGGTGCCTGATGCCTCATACTCAAGCTTGGGATTTCAGGCTCACTGCTTACTAGCAGCTTCCTTCAGAGAGCCGAGCACAGAGTTCAGGATCTTCTGGCGTCACCAGTGCCGCCACGGTTGAAAAAACTCGCTCACGCGTCCAAAATGACGAGCAAAGATGATGTCCAGCAGAACTTTGGAATCTGTCTTCAAACCTACGTGGAGCCCAAGAATTCGCTGGACCAAGAATCTGACCACATCATAAGCAGGATCCCCAAAGGCCTTGAAGCTGTAAGCTGTGCGGCATGTTAGGATTCAGCGCCTGGGGTGAACGTAGAGCCCGACGCCCAGGATGCATTCGCGCCAGTTGCCTCGCTCGAGGGGCGAGGGCGAGGGAGCTCCAACTGCGAAACTGTGTCGGAGCCTGTTGAAACCTGCGACCACCTGCGACCAGCCTGTGACTGGCATCCACCTACTGCTTGTTGCACTTTGTTGCGACGAGTTTGTTGTTCCCTACCATGCACACCATGTCCATTGAGTGTATGCAACCTCCGGTCACTCTAGTCCGAAAATGCTTTAAGATTTTGCTGCCAGGTGACTTAGCATCGCATAGCCTGACAGTCGGCGACTGCATCTAGGAAGGCGCCATGTTTCCAGCAATGCTGCACCAGTTCGGTCTGAGACTTTGTAGCCACGTAGCTACTCTCGCTGCCAGCAACGAGTCTAAATTGCAGCTCAGAAGCAAACTTGCCTAAGTTCCAGGCTTGCTGACTGTATTGTCACAGGCTCCTACGCAGTCCTTCAAGTCAATGTAGACTAAGGTCTAGCACAATGCAACCTGAAAGCGCGAATCGTACTGAACACGGGACATAGCATTGGGGCAGCCCGAAAATCGGCACAAACTTCAAATGCAAAGCTTTCAGTTGTCTGTGCACTTCACCACAACCGATTCAATCCAGTTGTCTTTTTGGCGCTAACGCTGAGTGCAGTATTAGTGGGCAAGATGCTAAAAAAGATTGAAGAAGCACAAACCAACGATATGACGAGAACACGATGCTATTAAGACGATGATAAGAATCATGCGAAGAAGTACAGTACTCAAGAACCCGTCTAGAGCGCATAAATAAAATGAGGAAGTCATGGTAAACCAACCAAACAATTACTAAAAGCCCACCCTGGCCAAACACATCCGTGCACTTCATGTGCGGAATTTGAGTAAACGGTATACTCCCCTTCTGGTTTTCTTTTAGGAAGTGTTGGTCTCTGCTCATTTAGGCATGCAAGGATTCCAGCCACCCGAATGTACTTCTTGCAACTGAGGCGCTCTTCCACATTGTTGCGGCAGGCTATTTCATCTGCAGTCAGACCTTCCTCTTGCACCGGACAGGACACCTCAGCGCAAGTCTGGCTAAGTAGTGAAGCGGCGAGGTCAGAGGGAGTTGCCGCATTGAGAGAAGATACGCATCTTAAACGCAAAAACCGCTACGACTGCTACGACAAGGATCCAAGTACTCGGCTGCGTACAGGACCGGTGAGGCCCAACGGTCTTGTTTAGAGCGGATCATCTTCAACATGTGGCGATACCAGGCGGGCGGACATTTGCAAGCTCAGCTCTTCAGGACTTGCTGGCAAATCTTGCACCTGAACAGACTTGGCAAATCGGGCCTTGGCAGTCGTCTGAGCGCCGCAAGCTGATTGCAGGAAGCGCAGCCGTGTCTGGATCTGCTGGCGCCTCGTCCCAACTCATGAGCGCGAGTCAATCTACACACATATCCAGTCGTCCTGGCCCGAGGCCCGAACGAAGCATAAGCTGTGCGTACTCGCGACCTTGACTGATTCTTCCAGAGGACGCTTGCCCCGACTGAAGCATGCTTTACGAACAATGTATGCAAGAGGCCCGCTGACAAGAATACAAAACTAACAACAACAGTTGAGACCCAAATGGATTCTAAAACACAGCTTGGGGACAGTGAGGAGGCTGATCGCATGCCAAAGTGCTCCGCCGCGAATGCCAGCAACACACCTTGCAAATGCTCGGTTGCGTCACGGCACAAAATATCTGAAATCGCGCAAACCACTCTGTCCATGGGGGGGGGTACTCAGCCAGCTTGCGGCATGAGTTGGAGGAACCCCGCCCCTCCGCCACTTCATGAGTGCGAGCAATCGACATCCCACCCACAAGGTCCAACAGAATTGAACGAATTTGAACGAGTAGCCCTTCCGTTGCGCGGTCGATCCAGGCTCTGCAATGGCATCCTGGGATTGTAGCGTACGAGCAAAGAGACACCATGGCCTTGCGATATCTCGCGATGAATTCCCGAGTGCAGCATGTTGCACATACCCGCGTCTGTGCACACAAATACAATCCAGGCTTTCCTGGTCCAGGATGTTGGGAGTTCCACGGTGTCATCTCTATGCCATGGGCTGCGCAAGTACCAACGCTTCAAGCCCCGACAAGGCCCACTCTTGCACGGGTCCAAGCTCTACAAAGGTCTTTGTCTGAGGTAGCACACGTGCTGTCCCAGCGGCACCCAAGTCACGCTCAAGCGCCTGTTGAGATCAAGTGCACCCATTCAAAAAGAAGCTGATGTCTCGTAATTGTCAGCATGTCCAAAGGGTTTACTGCGCTACTGGAGGCCTGCAGCATGCCTTCCAAGAAGAGAGCATCCTGCTCCTGCTCCTCCGAGCACTCCTCAGGAAGCATGTCAGGCTTCTGGGCGTGGACTTCACGTCTTGCTGATTACGAAGAGGAATCAGCCGCAAATCTAAAATCAGGAACACCCAAGTCCAGATCGGTCTGGGCTGGCTCCAGACAGGATTCAGAAGTCGATGGCATGATGTGACAGGCTGAAGAATTAGAAGACTCAGAACCATCTTACTTTGTCAGCCAGTTCTTCCTTATCAAGTCCCATTGTTGCGACATGGGAATTTGTTGTCACATCGTCTGACTGGGTTGCGGGCTGCAGGCGTTTGACAACTACGCAATCCTTTCACGGCCTGGAACTCGAAACCTGCAAACCCTCATTGTCCTATAATCAGCAGATCACGAGTCATCGGAGTTATCGCGAAGACCGGTCCAAAGCCCTGATCTACCCAAGTCCTATTACAGCGTAGGCGAAGAAATCCCCGAGCCTCTGTCAGCTCCTGCAATGCCTGTAGGCCTCGATCGCCCAATGCTTTCCGGTGGGAGCAAATGTGTTTCTTAAGGAAGCGGCTTTGGGGAATGCGAGGTGGAGGTCAAGCATCAAGAGATAACGGCGAGATGCATTCCAGAACTTCCGGGACCTATGTCTGCGCTATTACTATTGTTGCGAAGGGCCGACGTACGAGCTTCGGGATTGCACATGTCATTGTTTGAGGCCCAAAGAGGAAGTGGCGCGGTCTCAGTAAAAGCCCTGGGCACCAATCCGGTCTGAGACCTCAAGGGGAATCGATGAATCGCGCGACCGCGGGTCTCATAGCCCTCACGGAGTCTTCGATCTTCTCTTCATACAGCTAAGGTCTCTGGGCCATCCGGCAGGCAAGAACAGAGCCGTGGAGGTCTTGGTAGCGATCCTGCGCAGGATTTCTGGCCAGGAAAACACTCTCGTTGTTGGTCTTGAATCTGGCTTGAAGTTGCATATTAAGTTGTCAAGTAAATGGTAAGCAAACTCTCATTGCCCGCAATTGTCGCTGAAAATCCTAATGGTGATCCCTGGGGTCTGGCACTGCTCTACCAGCAGTCAAGCATCTCAGTTTCAAGGGTCCGCTACATCCGGGCTGAGTGCCAGGGCCGACAATGCTGCTGCAGCCTGGCAGTGGGGGAGTGCACCCAGGGTCAGATGGTGTGCCTTCGACTGCATGACTCTCGCCAGAGTACACAAGCACTATATAGCAGGTGCGCCCGCCTCCAGTCGCAGGACATGAGCACAGACCTAAGCTGCCAGCTATACTTCAAGACAAAAGGTGTTGAACACCCGTTCCGGGCCTGCAAACACTGCAATATATGTGCTCTGGTCAAACCATACCCCCAAGACTTGATCATGATTGGCCGGCTGCTGAGAGGACAAATCTGCAAATGCATCTGACCTAGCGCCAGAAATTCTGCACAATACGCATTTCTTCGAGCAGGTGTAGACCGCAGGGTGAGAATGGACCTGATCTTCCGGGCGGCTCCAAGTTCGCCAAGCGAGGATGTGCCTGGCTCCTCCAGCGTCAAGGGCGTCCTGCATGGATTGGGGAGATTCTGCTGCTCTTCACATTCTCAGACTTGATGTTTAAGACTGCTTGCAACCAGAGACTCATACCTCACAAGAACAAAAGCATCAGGGCTCGGGTGTTCAGGCCTGTTATTTGGGAATCGAACACTTGCATGAAGCGCTTGGGAGCTTGTGCCCGAAAACATCGTCTGCACGGCGAAAATTGCACAAGCCTGACTCTCACCCATCAGACTCAGGAGCAAAGTGGCAGCCATATGCCGAAAAATACAGAAGGCATCGAAAGGCCGCGCAAAGGAACACAAGGACCCTGCAGGTTCCAAAGGTTTGGCCAAACAGAGACTCGACAACAACATGTTTTGGCAAAATGCGTACCCATCATCCAAACTTTGGAGAAAACACAGGCCGCCAGGGCACAGCCCCTGCAGCGCCGCAAGGTCGATTGTGCCGGCAAAAAGGTGGGCGTCGCCCTGGCAGCAAGCTGGATCTGCTTGGATTACAAGTCTGCCCGCTTTGTCTGCAGGACCTCTATACGCTAATGGTTCTCATGGCTGAGGCCTGCTAGCTTTCAAAGAACATGCCTTCACTTCGACCCATGAATGGTTTTCATCCATACCCCATGGGGTGAAAGCTGAGGTGCAATGAAATGCCGTGGCTGCATACCCTTTGGACCAGGGCATGAATCAAATGTATGAAGCTTCTGCCCATGGCCTGTGATTGCCAGGACACTTGCAACGAAGCTTTCTGCACGTTCTCCTGCAAGACCTCATGTTCAACGAAGGAAGCCCAAGCTCGCCAGGGCGGGGCCCGGCACGTGGTGGCATGCCCTTCGCTCTAACACATCTAGCCAAGGCTTCGTCTGGCGGAACTCCTTTTCCACCAACTGCGAAATACGAGTACAGGCATAGAGATGAAGAAGCCGAAACCAATCAATCCAGCAGCCAGCATGCAAGATCTTTACAGCAGCAATCTTCCATTACTAAGCATTTCCAGGCATTACTGTCTCACTGAGAAAGTGGCGTACAGCTGCGCCTGACGCAAGCGATCAACTGCAGCAACACTTAAAGACAATCTCTTGACGTGAAGGCAAGGGGGTGTGGAGGAACTGCTTGACCCACAACCAACCGAAGCTGCATGTAGCGCTTATCTAGAGACCACCTCGCACCTCGCTGCCTGTTCGCTGCTCAAAAGGTCTAGTTCCCCAATCCAAAGACAAAAAACATCCTCGCTCTCTTGGGGTCTTGCCAAACATTCATCCAGGTGGCATGTGCACACTCTGTCCCCTAAGATGCCCTAAGTACTCACGTGCTCGCACCCCGCAAGGCCCTCCCAGTCGCTGCAAGACCTGCAGAAACCACACACAACATCAAACAACCGTTCCTTCAAGCGTTCCAACTGCCTGCTGCTCTTCCGCGATCAGTGCCCCAAGCTCGCGTCGCTCACAAGCCTGGCAACAACATTCAATACATGATTGGCTATCAACTCTCAGTTTAAGCTTGGTAAGTCCAAAAATCAAATCTCAAGCTCCAGTCACTGAGCTTGTAGCTCGAAAGTTTGCCGTGAACAAAAGCTACTCGCATGAGCTGGGCTGATTGCAGCAGAGCCAGGAGCTACTCTGCCAGTTACAGTCGATGTATTGTTGCACACCCCCTTGAAATTCATGCTTCAAGCGGCAATCGATGATGTAATTCTTTTCAAGGAGTTGCCCATGCCCGGCAGTTGCATTCGCTGGTTTGTGCAATCCATGTCTTAGCTACGTACAATCCAGATGCTGATGCATTCTTTTCCCCCTTACAGGCCAGTTGGCGTTCCATGACTTGCCCGCACGGCTTTGCAAGTGTACTTTGCGTTGTGTTGCTGTGTTTTGCGTTTGTTGTGTTCAACTTTTGTGGAATTGTTTTCCCAACCCCTGCTCCACGCTACACTTCTTGCACGACGCCATTCCTGTATTCCTATGCAGCTTACGACAAATGGCTGCCTTTTTCCAAGTATACAGCTGGGCTGCAATACGGGGATACTATAAGTACACATCCACATTATGAATCCTCAGTGGCACCCCTTCTGGAAGCACCCTATGAGAAGTCTTATCAGACCACCCAAAAGAACAGGCACATGTTGTAATTTGTAGCAGGAGGTTTGCACTTGCTCTATCTGGAAAGGACAGTGGTAAAAGTAGTATTTGTAACAGCTAATGTTAAATCGCTATGGCATGTATCTTGGACTTTTTGTATAGGATGGATTCTGGACAGTTGGTTTAGGGGGGCTTGCGCTGTGGCAAAAACCCGTTGGAACCTTTGGTCAAAGTAGCGTTGGGCTATCGCTCGCACCTGTCGCAGACTGACGCGGCCCCCGGAATAGCTGACGCGTACGCACCCGTTCATTTTACGGACGCCATCCCTGTCGCGGGCTACCACGCACACCACAAAACAGACGCGGCGGAACTTTCACCTCATGTAAATTTCCACATGTGGGAGTTTTGCTGCTGCTCATTCCCCCTGCTCCAAGACAACATCCTTTAAATGATTTGCGTGAAAAAAGCCACGACATCCAGTTCGTCATATTTCTCATCTCTGTCTCAAATGGGGCTGACTTGCTAAGCATTTTCAAGCTGGCATTGAGCGCTGAAACTCTGCCTTCCAAGCATGAATCTTCCTGTCCTAGGCTGCACTAACAGACAAGCCCTGAAACCGTCAGTGCCGGCACTGCTGGCTTGCCAGCGTGCGAGCTGTTCAACGTCAATGCCACAAGCTCATCCAGGCCTGTATGCCCAGGAGCGGCGCATCCTGCAACGGGCAAGAGGTCTCTTCAAATCCGGACTCAAGCCACACGGCGAAGAATGTGCGAGAATAGGATGCTGAGACGACAAACTCGAACCATGCCAAGGTTATCCCTGGGTTTCTAACCTGACCTGAGGAAAAGTCTATCTGCACTTTGGGGTCGTGAAGCTTTGTTCTCCCACAAGTTTGAGGGGACACCGCGTACATAGGGAATGCACACAAGTTCCTCTCGAGGCGCTGCAACATAGTATAAATGCTGAAGCGCACATCCCCAAGAACTGCATAAACAAGCTGTCAGCGTTGCCTCAGAGTCATCCCCAATGGGCGGCCCCTTGGGACAAGCCGCTACCAGGGACATTGCGAACAGCAGATCTTTCATGGCACCAGTTGCGCGACTCTGCAATCGCTCAGACTTCTGCGAGAGCTTCCGGCCCCCCGAGAATCTCTTCTGGTTTGTGGTACCTGCCTCTGCGATCCCCCGCACAGAAGCCACCAGTAAGGTGGCGCTACGAAGAAGCACTGAAGAAGACTATCAGAAACAGGTTAAGGATATGAGTGCCGAAGTGAAACAAAGCTCGGTAGGATCAAAGGTCTTGAAAGCTTGATGTGCCAAGGATATACTCAACTAGAATTACATGCAACTGTGCTCGTGGTTAGGGTTACCTAGATGCTGGAAGCAGTTCTATAAAGTCTACGAAGGGTAGTGAAAAGCTTGCTGGATTGTTCATGAACAACATCTCATTACAACACCTTTCAGAATTAGCAGTGATAGCAAAGACCCGAATCTGAGCTGCACTCGCGCACAAGCCCATCCCATCTGTGACTATCTGAGGGCCTTGCAAACCATCCGCTTGAGCCTCACAGCAGTTGGCTTAATTGCCAACAAGCAGCAGAACCCTCCTTGCAGAGTCATTTCGCCACAGCGCGTCCAACTTCATAAAAATTGATGTGGCCGCCTGTTCTGCTAGATGTTCGACAGAAAGAGTATGCCAAACGAGCTGAGGGCTCCTCCACCGCAAGTGGACCTTAAAACGACCCTTGATACTTTGAGCCGGACCACCAGCCCACCGGCCTTCTTCGGGCGCGCCATCCGGAAACACCATTCGAAGAGTAAGACCTTGTTCGGAGTGTTTATACCAGGTCCAAGCATCAGTATCACGAAACGAGAAAAACCTTGCCGTCCATGGCGTTCTGGATCTGCTGGATCAAGTACGCATTGGCTATAACACTGACGATGCTGATGGCCGTCTAGGGAAGCTGCCAACTCTTACACACTCCAGAAATCACCGGAACAGTCTGTGAGAACGACTTGGAAGCAGCTTGAGTGGCTAGCGATTCGAATTGGCACAAATGCCATAACTTCGGGACTCTGAACCCCAAAACCTGTATGGCATGGAGCAGCATGGCCTTGGCAAACGCGCTGAGCAGATGTCGCGCCAAGGCAGTCTCCCACGGCCTGCTGCTTGTAGATCGTGTGAGCATCGCATGAATTCTGTAGCAAGTTGGAACCCTATGCATGACCTGTTCTAATACTTTGAATTGCAGCATTTCCATGGCCAGAGAGGTGGCCCTTCCTTCAGGCAGATTGCGCACTCAAGGAAATCAAGGAAATCGGCCAGCGGTGCGCATCTTTGGGCTGCTTTGCGCTTGCTCTCATGGCCCTCCTGCCAGATGCTGAGACAGCCGCTGCTGTGATGTCCAAGGACTGCTCAAGGTAGTAGTAGCTTCCAACTGGGCCATTGCCTTGCGGGCTTTCCACTTCCACTGCAGTTTATGACCGGCAGGCTTGGTGCGTCTTGATGTGTGACATCGCCACGCCAACAACCAGCAGAGAATTAACAAGAAAGCTGCGTACTCTACTTTGGAAACTCTGAGATAGTCAAGCGAGGCCGCGACTTCTGGCAGGCAACGAACTCCTGAGCCACCGAGGCCAGCTGGTGAAATGATGCCAGGGATACCGAACAAAGATCTTCACTATCTTGTCGCTTGCTGAAGGCTGAACTATCTAACGTCAAAACGTGGCGCATGTCAAGTTCTCAAGCTCTAGTGTCACATGCCAGCTTTGATCAGACAGCCTTACTGAAGAATGTATGAATGCTCCGCTACTGGACTGATCAGCCTGACCCTGGACGCACGCCTGCCCTGCAAACAAGCGTGAAGCCATGCAAGTGCAAGTAGATGAAGATGAAACTTTATGGAAGACCCAGCACATGAATGCGTACCAGGCACATAAGCTCGATCGCATGCTGGCTTGTGAAGCCAAATGCATGGAGTGTCACCTTGGATCGCAGCCCTCCTGAACTTGCTTTAGTGTTTGTTATCTTGCATTCGCTTGCTGCATGTCAAGGCCGAGGCTACGAGTATGATACACCCCATCAAGATTTTGAAAGTAATCCTGGGTAAAGTGAGGAATACTACTTCATGGTGTCCACTGCCACGGTGCTGGGAAACTTTCAGCGTTCTGCCGCAGCGCAGCAGCGTCGTCGTAGTGACAGCATCCCAAACACTTTTAGCGCACCCCCATCCCCACGCATACACATTTGGCAAGAGCAGCTGTATTCATGATATCTCACAAACAGGCATCGCTGAATTGAGACCCGCCTATGCGCAGCATGCGAATCCAATTGTCACCTTTTACTGCAAACCGCCTCCAACCTTGATGTGCTACCTACCTCCTGAAACGAGCTTGAGCACTGGTCGGGAGGTGGCCCTCGCTCCCTTCTCCGCCAGATCGAGCAGGTCCTCCAAGCTCAGAGCTTGTGTATAACGGAAGCACACGAAAAAGTGCTTGTTTTGCTTGGCGCGTGTCTGCAGCAAAAACATTGCCGAATGCCTAGAAACCCAACCTGATCCACTACTTTGCTGCCTCTGAGCGCGTCAAACCGCCGTTCGGCTGGCCGTCTGAAAGAAGGATGGCGACAGCCGTGTTGGACGATGGGACCTCGACAGCTTGAACCACACTCTATGAGAAACACGACGGCAGACTTTGCCAGCGGTTCCAGCCTTGCCATTTTGCTGATCCCAGAGAAAGTGGAGAAGTTGGACATGCGTGACAAGGCAATACAACCAGGGCGTCGTATGTCCAAGAATCTTTGTGACTCGTACCAAAGAAACCTATCACTCAATCACGATGCTTGTGATCATAAGCATTGTCCGCTCCAAGCCTCATCCACTGGCCGGCGTCTAGCACAGTAGCCGTTGTATCCGCCGTGGGCGACAGTGGTGTTCTTGGCACTGCCATGCACTCTGCGGCTA